ATGAACTTTATCCTAAAATAAGTCTGTCACAGTTGAGAGGCAAGAGAAGAGAGACTATGAATAGCAAACAGATTAAAACAGATTACAGAAAATTACACAGAACTGAATTGAATTTCATTTCCCCTTTCCATCCACAGAGTAGCTACACCCACCAGGGGTGGGCAATCTCAGTCCACGAGGGCCGGTGTCCCTGCAGGTTTTAGATGTGTCCTCGAACCAACACAGCTGATTTAAATGGCTAAATGAGCTCCTCAACATGTCTTGAAGTTCTCCAGAACCTGGTAACGAACTAATCACGTGATTCAGGGGTGTTGACCCAAGGTGAGATCTAAAACCTGCAGGACACCGGCCCTTGTGGACTGAGATTGCCCCCCCCCCGGCTACACTGTGGTGCACAGAAAGGAAGTTCAGGTGTCTTTAGAGTTTTAATCGTGTAGTTTTCATGAAGTGGACAAACAGATGGACAGATGTGAAACTGTTTCTGCTCCCACTCCCATTCCTTCACCCTCCCACCCCTTGCTGCTTTTGCTTGAGCAGTCGTTTCCATGGTGACGGCGGTCAGCAGCACAGCGACTGAAAGCATTTGAGTTGTGAATGAGTTGGTGGGAAAAGCTGCTTCGCCTCTTCTTTTTTAACTCCCTTTCTTACTTTTTTTCTTCACAGTCTGTTTCTCCCTCGTTCAACCCTTGTTTTGGTAAACAAGCCCCTGCACCACGTGATCCTTCCCATCCCCTTCACTCTTTTAACTGGGAACCAGTTAATGAGTGAGATGGTTGGTGGGTTACATAATGGGATCCTTTTTTTTTTTCTGCGATGGGGTGAAGAGGAGGGTGGTTGGAGAGGCAGATTGTGGTCTTTTGTTGCTGTGTTTCAGGGTTTGTTGGAGTCCAGTCATCCAGTGAATTGACACTCTGTCTCTGTTAACTGTTTCTCTTCAGGTTCAAATCCTGACAAACTCTGATCTGGATCTGCCCCTCAAAGGAAAAGGCAAAGCAAACAAATTTACAGTTACAAACAAATAAAATAATTTCCAGCCCTGTGATTCATAATTCAATTTAGCAGATTTCATTTATCATGCCCTTCTTTTAAAGATCAAAGTAGATTTTATGAGTCAGTAGCTCAGGTGTTTTTGCCCCATTCGATTTTAATTTGTGCAGTTTATAAAAGCTCAGAAAAACATCAAACTATGTCCTGTGGTACATTAACAACACAGTAAACCAAAGCGCAAGACAGAAACACAGAGTGAAACTCTATGGGATGTCCTTTTCGTTAAGACATGTGAGTTGTTTAACTATTGCCCACAAACAGCCAATCATCAGCTGAACTTGAAATCATGTGAGACAATCATTTAGGTGTCCTCTAACATGGGGTGGACAGGTGAAGACAGATCCAGCAAAGGTCAAAGCAGTGCAGGGATGGCCCGTTCCTAAGCCATGAAGGGAACTCCCCTGCTTCCTTGGGTTTGCTAACTTTTACAGACACTTCATCAGAAACTACAGTCAAGTTGCTGCTCCCTTCACTCGTCTCACCTCCTCTAAGATATCATCCACCTGGCCCTGGGAGGCCCACACTGTCTTCACTAAATGAAAGCAGCTATTTGCCTCTGTCCCCATTCTAATTCACCCAGGTACTAATAAGCAGTTCATCGTGGACGTCGATGCATCAGACGTAGCAGTAGGGGCAGTGCTATCCCACAGATACGAACCTCAAGGTAAACGCCAGCTCTATTTATGTCACCTCACCCCCACCAAGCAAAACTATAACGTGGGGGATAGAGAGCTTCTGGAAATTATAAATTAACCCTGGAATGATGGCATCCCTGGCTGGAGTGAGCCATACAACTGTTTCTCATATGGACAGATTAAAAAAAAATCAAACTTATGGTAAATGGCCTGTATTTGTATAGCGCTTTACTAGTCCCTAAGGACCCCAAAGCGCTTTACACAACTTTTTACACACTCAGTCATCCACCCATTCACACACTGGTGATGGCAAGCTACATTGTAGCCACAGCTGCCCTGGGGCGCACTGACAGAGGCAAGGCCACCGGGCCCTCTGACCACCACCAGTAGGCAACGGGTGAAGTGTCTTACCCAAGGAAACAACGACCGAGACTGTCGGAGCCAGGGCTCGAACCGGCAACCTTCCAATTACAAGATGAACTGCCAACTCCTGAGCCACGATTGCCCATATCTCCGAAATGCTAAAGGACTTAATTTCCAGCAAGCTCGCTGGTCTCTGTCTTTCATCCAAGTTAATCTCTCTCTCTCCTGCCACCCAGGCTCTCAGAATACCAAGCCAGAAGCACTTTCCCACCAGTATTCCTCAGATAATGAACAATTCTTCCCAGCTCCCATTCTACCTGCCACCTGCAGGGTGGGTGCTCTCACCTGGGATATTGAAAGCTTTTATCAGCGTATGTGGCCTATATCAGAAATATTTCTTAGTATTCCTGTGTTTCTGTATTTGAGTAATTAGCTTTTTTTGTTACCTTGTATTTAGGTTTCTGTTTGTGTACTAAATGTCTTCATGTTTTTTTGTTTATTTTTTCCCTTATTCTGCTTCTAGTATTTGTTAGTTATTTAGATTGTAATGTACATGGCTCAATTATTTGTTGAAAAACAATTAAAACATAAGAGATAGGGATTAAGAAAGAACGAGGGCCCAGAGAGTCTGTTTATCATAGGGCATAGAGCTCTGCGCTGCTCAAAGTATTAAAACGTTTGCAAAATGATCCATAAAGTCCAATTTTTTCTTCCAATTTTTAAATTGGCAGACAAATAAGAAGTAATCTGAATTTTTTTTAATGTCTTGGTCTGAAGATTTTCTGCAAGTTCTCGTTAACATTGGGAAAACTTGTGGCCTGTGCAAAATATTTTAACCTTTTTTCATAAAACACATTATGAAGATGGAGCATTTAAGTTTTACTAATAATACTTTAGACCTATATTAGTATAATATTTATCTTAGTCTTAGATCATGAGCTTAGTTGCAATTCTAAAAATGTAAGTGACAGTTGTGCTCTATGTTTGTAAAGTGCTCACAGCTTCAGAAACTACCAGCGATGCAATCTGATGTCAGACTGTCTCTGTTTGACAGAAACAGGCTCAAACAGATAAAGACTTAGGGCAGGATTAAAGCTGTTTAATGTTTGGTGAAGGTCAATCATACCTCAGATCATTTCACTGTGTCAAGAACCACAAGTGCAGACTCCTGAGGCAAAGAGAATAAACTGAAGATGTACCGTTATTATGAAGATGAAGATTCAAAACAAGGTTATTAACGCCATAGAAAGACTAAGGTGAAGGAAGGGAACCCGCAAACCTAACTGTGACTAGAAAAAGAGACATATCCCCTATAATGACATCTTTTCATTGGCTCCTTGTTAAATCCAGAATTAAATTTAAATAACTTTTCTGCACAAATAAAATCTTGAATGGGCACCATCAAATCTTAAAGGTCTCATAGTACATTATCATACTAACAGAGCGGTGCAAGCAAAGTGGGCCTTGCTTTTTAGCAACCTATTGCTACAATATTACAGGTGGCAAAAACTACAGTTTGGTACATCCTGAGAAACAAAGAAATCCCTGGTGAACTCAGTAACACAAAAAGACCTGGACGACCATGGAAAACAATAGAGGTGGATGATCGCAGAATCATTTTCATGATGAAGAGAAACCCCTTCACAACAGCCATCCAAGTGAACAACACTCCCCAGGGAGTATGTGTATCCATATCCAAATCTACCATAAAGAGAAGACTGCATGAAAGTAAATACAGAAAGTTCACTGTAAGGTGCAAACAACTCATAACCCTCAAATCAGAGTAGCTGGAGAGAACCCACGCAAACAGAAAGGCCCTGGCCAGATGATGGGGTCAAACTGAAGACCTTCGTCCTGTGAGACAACAGCGTTAATCACTGTGTCACCATTGTTATATACACTGCTATATAGACCCCAGTTATATATAACTGGGGCGATCGTGGCTCAAGAGTTGGGAGTTCGCCTTGTAATCGGAAGGTTGCCGGTTCGAGCCCCGGCTTGGACAGTCTCGGTCGTTGTGTCCTTGGGCAAGACACTTCACCCGTTGCCTACTGGTGGTGGTCAGAGGGCCCGGTGGCGCCAGTGTTCGGCAGCCTTGCCTCTGTCAGTGCGCCCCAGGGTGGCTGTGGCTACAATGTAGCTTGCCATCACCAGTATGTGAATGTGTGGATAACTGGATATGTAAAGTGCTTTGGGGTCCTTAGGGACTAGTAAAGCGCTATATAAATACAGGCCATTTACCATATAGACCCCAGTTAAACCTAATCCTGTAGCACGGGTGTTCTGCAAGAAACTGATCTGAAAGTGTTTATTGCAAAATTATCTGCTTTTGCAACTTTTTTCATCCATTGACCCAAAAGAACGAAAGCATTAGCAGATACTCAGATCAGCAAATACACTGGCCACTGACTACTTGTTGGAATTTTGAAAACATGCCATTTGTGAATGCTGTTTGGGAGAAATGTGTGGATGTCAAAGACTGTCTGCATAAAAGAGTCTTTGAGAGCCACGTGTCTGGACCAAAATGGGATGGGAACATATTACTATACATAAATCTTAAGGCCTTTCCATGTATCTGGATGGATAATAAATTTGTATAGTGTTGTAGTTTTGATCTAATGCCAGTGGTTGGTAAAGCAGATGCAATAGCACATAAGAAGACTGGAAAAAACAATAGTGTAGCTGCAATGAAGGAGACTGGATGTGCAATCAAAATTTGGCCAGGTGCAAATAAAGGTAAACTAGAAACGAACCTGCGGATTGGGCCCGGTATCAAGTCTCTATTGTAGTGAGAGCTTGGTTCGAGTTTCCCCAGAATTCCTCTCTCTCTCTTCTGATGGATATCCAACCTGTGGGGCATACACACTGACCACATTTCATCACATATTCAATTTTCAGCTTCAAACTCGTGATCCTGTCTGACACTTGCTTTACCTCCACAATACTGTTCACATCCTCTTCTTAAAGATGACCCCTAATCTATTTTTTTCCTATCTACACCATGATAGAATAATTTGAATCAGCATTCAATACTCCTGGCCCTGCTTTCATTACATCTTGTCTCTTGCACATACAATATTCCTACCTTCTTTCTCTCCATCAACCAGCTGTCTCTCTTTACCGGTCATAGTTTCTACTTTCAAAGTCCCTACACTACTCCACCTCCACACTACACCCACTGCCTTTCCTTCTCTCTCACTGCCTCCAAACTTTTGTCTTTGCCCAGCAGTAGCACACTTTCCACTGGAACCATGTTGACCAGTTAACCTAGGCCCCAACCAGTTCCGTGTGGAAATCTTGATGATTTACGTTTGATTTAGTAAAGATCTTCTTGGCACTAGGAATAGATGGGCTTGTGGCCCAGCAAAAAACCTCCTGGTGTGTGTTTTGTTCTGGTTTTGTACCCACAAAAATAATCCATAAAGCAGAGTGGTCTTATATGCTCTGAAGCCTCTTATTGCTGTTTTTTACTATGCTGCTGTCGGCAAAAACTATGAACTTCAAATAAAGAAGTTCAGAGTTTAAGTATATAACTACACTGTTTTCAAGAATTTGACACATTTTTAATGAAATTAATATGTAAAATATTTTCAGTTTCATGCTTTGATCCTCAGACAAAGGTCTGATAACAATACAAATCTCACTTCCACTTAGCAGCGTTTGTCCATACGTGTACATTGCATAGGAATTAATTTCAGAATGAATGAATTTTGTTCAAAATGAGTGCTCATTTGTGCTGTTAAAAAGATGTGGTGTCTGCCATCTGCAGGTTAACAGGTGAGAACGTCAGAGTTACTTTAAATATCACAGACTTGACCTGTGATGCTTGGTTGCTTCTCTACTTTTGAGATTTTACTTGGACCATTTCCTGGAAACTGAATCTTTGTGCCACAAGTTACACAACAAAGTGAGGAGGAAGGACAGGATGGATCAGAGAAAAGTGGAACGGGTGAGGAGGGTGAGGAGGCCCTGCTCTCTTTGTGGCTCCCACAGAACCATCTCCAATTACAGGACAAAGGCAACTCATTCAGGCTTCAAGCGCCAACTCTGCAGCTTTGCATGTCTAATGAGTGTTTTGCTGAATACTAAGCGGACCCCTGGGTGCTGCAGAGGCCTCACCCTCCCTCCCCCATGCAGCACCTACATCACAAAGTTGCTCCTGTACCGCTCTGCATCGGGACATCTAAGCTTCACCTCCTCTCTCTGAAGACAACAGTCCCAGTCCTTTCCATAACAGAGTCAAAACACAGGCAAACAAAACTATGAGATGCAAAATAGGGTTGCAGTACAAAGACTAAGGAATAGTGGACGCTAATGTTGCTTGCTAATTTTAACTGGACAGAAACAAGATGGACTAGAGACTTGAATATCAGTCGAATTCAAAAAGACTGATATAGCTGGGGATGAGTTTTTTAGGTTCTGACTTGAGAGGAGTGTGCTTTGTGGACAGCCAGACCTTCTGGCCAGGGTAATAGCAGGGCACAGAGGTACAACAAAGGTCATCGAGGTGCTTATTTGGTTCCTTTATCCGTAAAAAGGCTGCCTGGGTGACCCTCCAGATCCTGCGACAACGGCAGACAAATGGAACAGAAATCTCACCTTCCAATGCTGGAAGATGAAAAAAAGAACAGTGCAAAAACAAACAATTGAGACTGAAGTCAACAATTTGATGAGTTGATGATGAGTTTTCTATGCATGCAAACTCCTTAAACACAGACTAGTGCAGTTTGTTACAAGAGATGTAGTTGAATGACAAACCCAGATAGATCTGGAAACATGTGATGTCGATACACATGGGAAGAGATTAGAATCCTTTATGGTAAAGACTGATCAGGTTGATGAAATTCTAGGGAAGATAAAAGGGCTTCAAATTGAGACACCGGTGAGTGACATTCTGGCAGGACAGGAAGAAAACTGTCAAAGCATACGCCATCCCCAGAGAGACCGAAAAAGCCCACAGTAGCTGAAGGACTATGAGTGCAAAGTGACTTGTGGGGATGATACAGCAATACACGCTGACCACAGCTACAGGGCAAATTTTAAGATGAAAGGCTTTGGAAGACTTAAACATTTCCTAGCCATTGACTTTAGACAGAGAACGAGAAGTGAGAATGAACCAAGGAGAGGTTTGAAATGTCTGACTGCAAGGGTAGATCAACTCCATGTGAACACAAACCAAACTGTGATGGTGATTGAGAACCTGCTAACCCAAAGAAATATTGGGAGATGATAGGCAGCTTGATTTATGCAATGACATGTACAAGACCTGATTTCAGTTGGGTTGTCAGGAAACTATCACAATACCTATCAGGACCAAGGTACTTAAACGGAAATATGAAACAAGAGTTGTGTCATAAGAAAAGGGAAGAAAAACGTGCATATAGTGATGCTGATCTGGTCACAGACCTAAATGACAGCCGAAGCACAACAGGATACTGTTTTAGTCTGACTGAAAGTGGTCCTATCATTTCATGGATGTTTGAAAAGCAGCCAACCGTAGCTTTATCTACATATGAAGCAGAGTATATGGCATTGGCTGCCAATACACGAGAAAATGTATATCTTTCACAGTTACTGACTGAGATGTACAGTCAGTCTTTGAAGACAAGCAAAATGCAATTGCTTTGTCAAAGAAGTTGTTGTCAGAGATGTAAATATGTCAACATCAGATATCATTATATAAGCTCTGCTGTCAGTGACAGAAAGGTAGTCATTGAATACTGTCCAACAGCAGATATGGTTGCAGAGGTTTTGACTAAGCCTGTGAAATAGTTGAAAAATTTGCAGCTTATCCAAAAGATGTATGTTTAATGACACTCTGAAATTAATGCACGGAAGAAGGGACTCGTCCTTCTTCTCAACCAGAAAAGAACCCTGCACCCAGAGGAGAGGAGGATGGACGAATGATGCCTGCAGAGAGAGATTCGGAAATCTATTTTTACATGGTATCGAGTTCAGGTTTGAGTACCACCTCATTGTGCTTGGGGTTATTATGGCAAATTGATTAAAAAGCCCCATGAGATCATTTGTATGCCACACAAACAACACAACAATGGATGACATCAAGGCAATGGTACAGTATACCTGCTGCTAGAGTGATGGGTCTGCACCTCACTGTTGGACCAAGGTGTTGGTTTGTGTACAGCTCTTTCGGTTGTTGCCAGGTTTCAAATATGTGTTAGACTTTTGTGAACGAGCTGCTGTAATTATTATTCATCAATTAACACCAGTGACTGGCCAGTTGGCAGCAAGAAGTTACATATAACACATCATGGCATAGAAACTAGTTGGCTGAAGTTAGAAAAAGATGGTCTTAGTCCACACACCCTGTCCTCCTGGTGTCAACATGTTCCTTAATTCTCCTCCACAGTGTGCATATGAGTATAGCCCTACCTTTCTTATCTATCTACACTCATTGTTTAAGTCTTGGTCCCACCCCCATCTTTTTTGTGTGTCTGTTTCCCTGTTTTCAGTTATTGTTATTTCTTCCTGTTTTTTGTACGTACTTATTTGACTCTTGAGTACTGCGTTTAATTAACTCCTTTTGTCTTAATCTTTTATAGCTGTATCTCATCACCCTGCTGTGGTCATTACATGAATATCTAAACGATGAAATCATGACTGACGCAATGAAAAAAAAGTTAGATTTAATATCATTAGTCATATAAACTGTGTTTTTTTTTTTTTTTAATTTCTTTATTTTGAAAGCAGGACATGGTTTTACAGCAGGATATTAGTGTGTATGGAAGCAAACTCTGTTTATTGTCAGCATTAGAAACTGATGATAGGATCAAAAGATCCCGAATGGCAGATGGTTTTGGAGCATTTCCTCTGTGATGTTTGTTGTGAACACAAGATTTTTTGAAAAGATCACGCAGATCAACCACATAGATTTTATTTCGTGTTGAAGGACATGGGAGTCTGAAAGAACAGCAACAACTATACAACACTCTATGGGCAAGCACTTTGCAATGGTTTTAAAGAAAACCTTTCTCTCACTGGAAGAGATGTCCCTTTTTTGTAATCTTGTCCTTCCTGGAAACTTTTGCAATTAGAATTGTGATCTGAATGCAAGGTGGTGCCGAACACATTGTGCTTTGCAACAACTGCTATGTAAAGTTTCTACAGGCTCATCTTGTATATGTCAATCTTTTATCTGTTGACTTATTAATTTCTTTTGTGTTATTTCAGATATGACATTATATGTCATATCTGAAATAACTTGCTTGCTTAGACATCATATTACACGATGATGTCTAAGGTAAGACAGACAAGAGAAAAAAAAAGAGCAGGTGGGTAGAAATGGGGTGATAGAAACAAACAGAAATACACAACGTATCACCAACTCCTGCATCTGTAAGAGACAAAAAACACAAAAACAAAGCAAAACAAACATATCGCACCTGGAACGCAAAAAATGAGAAAATACACAGATGTATAAATCAACTTCCTATAGTGTGTGTGAGAGACAGACAGAGAGAGAGAGAGAGTTTGAGTGTCTTGTGGGGTAAAGATTTATTTGCAGTTCTGAGGTCAACCAAATCCTTAAATTTAAGAATATTAACTCCTCAGCCTCCCTGGGAAAGTCTATACCAGGGTGCTGGAAAGGAGGGTCCATCCATTATTTGAACCTCGGATACAGGAGGAACAATGTGGTTTTCGTCCTGGTCGTGAAACACTGGGCCAGCTCTTTATCCTCTCAAGGATACTTGAGGGTGCATGGCAGTTTGCCCAACCAGTCTATATGTGTCTTGTGGCCTTGGAGAAGGCATTCAACCGTGTCCTGTCGGAGGTGCATAGGGAGTATGGGGTGTCCAGCCCATTGCTACAGGCCATTTGATCCATATACAACCGTCACATGAGCTTGGCCTGCAAGAAGTCAGACTCATTTTCAGTGGGTAATAGACTCCACCAGGGCTGCCCTTTGTCACAGATTCTGTTCGTAATCTTTATGGACAGAATTTCTAGGCATGGCCGTGTGGCGGAGGGCTTTCACTTGGGTAGTCTCTGAATCTCATCTCTGCTTTTCGCAGATGACGTGGTTATGTTAGATTCATCGGGTGATGGCCTTCAGCTCGCACTGGAATGGTTCGGAGCCGAGTGTGAAGCAGTGGGAATGAGAATCAGCACCTCCAAATCTGAGGCCATGGTCCTCAGCTGGAAAAGGGTGGAGTGCTCACACA